TAATTTGTCTATGACCTACAAATTTATTTTACCATCATGGGCAGCGTACTCAAGTAAAATGTGAAACATTTTCAAAACTGAAATATGTTTTAAATAGACTGCGAAACACGTTAAGTCAAGAAAAATTGGATACATTTTTATTAATGAACGTTGAAAAAGATATTTTGTTCAAAATTAAAAACGATGACATCATTATAAATTTAATTACAGAAAAAGTTGTGAGTTAAAAATGATATGGGTAAAAAAATAGTGGGTTATTTAATGAGTTTAGGGGTGGGGGGACTTAGGTCTATAGGCACAACTAGACCTCTAAAATGCTTTAATTATAAATAATGCGTACAGAGCCGTTTGGGCTTTGCTATAATACTAAAAGTACATATAGTCTTATAGTAATAAAACCACAATAATCGATATTTGCAAACTTTTTATACACATTTTAACACAATTCGTATTAAATATTAATTATAATAATGAAATATAATATATGTATATATATTATATGCCTATAATATATACTTATCTTTACTAATAATATATTAAGATTTGAACGTTAAAACGGTAATATTTAATATAAACTCATGAGAGCTCAACAGTAAATTGTAATTATACCAATTACCAGTGCATTTTTAAACTAGTAAATTAGGCGACACAAATATCGCAAAATGAAAGTATTTTTGTTGCTTAGTTTACTGTATTTTTAAAGACTGGGTGTCACTCAATTTTTTGTTTAAAGAAGAATTTTTATACCACCTATATAAAATAAAAATGAAGTAGGTAATAAATTTCCCTTGAAATCAATTCCTATTTTAAATAAATTATAGCTATTTTTTATTAACTTTTACCATTTACTTCTATTCTTTCTAGCATTAATATTGATTTTGAATAATTATGAGGGGCGAACATGAAAAAATTCTATCATTCTATTATTTAATATTGATTTTGAGATTTTATTTTCTATCATACAGTGAAAATAGGTTACAAGTAGTAAGAATAAATGGGAATATTAGTAATTTTTAAACAATTAGATATTTTATATTAAATATTAGATAAAGTACAAATAAAGGCCTATTCTTTTCATAGAAATATTTAATATATAAATATTTATTATAAAATATATATATCAATATTTTTAAAACTGTTCATACTATAATATAAGCATTTTAAAAATATATACAAAAAAATTGTAAGGTGTAGGGAAAGCTGAACTGTTCAATAAACTCAGAAAAATGGTTGAAATATTATGGAAATTGTATTTATTACAATGATTAAAAAAAAGGGGGCTTTCATAAAAATATGTCTATGCTTCTAATATGTATACATAATATTAATCAATAATAAAATTAATAAATGAAAATAATAATTGAAATTTTAATAATATTTTATGACTCATATTATTATAATTTAAATTATAAATTACAAACTATTCTAGTTATTATCATATCACATATTTTGACATTTCAATGAACAAATATTGTAAATACGGATATAAAAAGTTGTATTTTATTATATCTGTCATCTATGGATTCATCATATTGACATAAAGTAGGTAATATCTATCATCTGTATTCTATGTATGGCAACTGCCAAAATATTTGCAAAGTACGGAGTCGATTAACTTTTCAAAAATTTAAAATGGCAAAAAGAACATGAACCATAAACATTGCGTCCCGTAAGGTTTATTTTTAATAAATTACAATTTTTTCAGTTCTCAGTTCAGTAGCATTCTCTCGTCAGAGGTGCGGAACAAATACGTCACGGATTTCGCAGATAGAGTTGATGTTTAAAGTAAGTTTATTTTCATATTCTTTTATGTCTTATATTTACTTTTTAGTTTGCAGACTTAAAAGTTAAAATTAATATTTAATGTCAAGAAAAATATGCTATCCATGAGTGGTAGACGCATATTTTATTTTCAAGCGTGAAATGCATAAAATACGCGAGATCGAATAATACTATAATAGGTACAAACACTACAAACACCATTGTCGTTTCTCTGGGCCCGCTCCTTGTTTTCATTTTGTTATATTTTCATTCTACTATACATATTTATTTGTGAAATCAAAATAATCAATGAAAAAACAACATTTTACGCAATTAAACGATTGGGATATACTAATAAATTGCACATTAGTACTATGACTACAATTAGAAAATCATTAATATCAACCCTACTACAGCTATAATCACAAAAAGTACGCTTATGTCAGTCATCATTTAAGTATTTGTGTAGAAGCTAAAAAAACTAAAAATATTAATAAATATAAAAATCTTTATCTAATTAGTATAGTATTATTTCAAGCAACGGATTACAGCAATTCATTTTTTTAATACTAAATATTTTGTTTTGGATATTTTGTTGAATATTATTATGTAAGAATGTTTAACGTTAGATCTACGTAGATAACGAGTACCTATCTCTGGTTGTATACATTAATACATTTTTCAAAAGAGTAAAATTAAATATTATATGATCAATTATGATTGTTTTTGAGAAAAAACAAAATTCGGGGTAAAATATTATTTAGTTACTATCAACAATAACCTCAAGGTAATTCTGAATACTTTGATATAAAACATTATTTTTGATACAATTGGATATATATTGAGATTATTTTTTGAATAAAAGTAACGATCAACACTGTATAAAGACTTTATAATGTACCTATAAACTTGTAATCTTGTATGTTTAGTAAGTTCTATAGATTTAAAAACAAGATTAATTGATTCAAATAGTAGAATAATTAGTTTATTAAAATAATATCGTCTATTATTAGTTATTAATTTATTAGGTATTGCCTACAATAAATATTTCAAAATCTTTTTTATTTTGCCTATTTCAACAAAACGTGTAAGAGCATTTTGTTCATATTTTAAATGCCACCGACGTCCACGATACATAAGTCGAACCTATAACCATCATACACATATTATACTTGCCCATATATTTGTATACGCTTTTTCGTCGAACACGGGTAGGGGTAAACCATAAACCTCTGCGGGAAGATATTCTAGAATCATTTGATGTATCCCTCGCGAGTACCGGAGTACCTATACTAAGGACTCGGATAGCAAATAGCTTTTCCTCGGTAACACACTAACACGCTAGACGGAAAACCTGCGAGATGATGTTGTAATTATTATTACGCCGGTATCAGAATGTTGTACAGCCGATCGATTTCATTTTCAAGTACACGATTACATGCGATGCGTAGATTGGTTTATATTATATGTGAACACAGTACATTGTAAATACTGAATATTATATTAGGTATATTCATCAGTTCATCACCATCGTTCTTTACCATATTAGTCGAAAATGGAATTTGGCAATTCCAAAGCAATTTCTGGTGCAACCACCAACACACCTATTTGTACACAGATTTCAATATTTATATGATGACCTGTGTACTAGATCGATTTTTACAGTAGAGACTAGAGATCGTCATCATAATCATCATCCACTCTAGTGCACACCTAAATGAAAACATTTAATTTAAATAGTATTATAATATCAGGATCGCCTCTCTCTATCGGACCTGGGTCAGTTATTTGACTTCCGTTGCTAAATAGGCATAGCCGCATAGGTAGGTATTGCATTGAACAAATTCTGTTTATAACCGATGAGAAATATTTATAAGAATTATAATTTAAAATTCATCCATTTCGAAAAAAAAACATTACATTAATTGTCAATTTACCCATTTATTGGGGCAATGTGTTGAATAATAATAATAATAATTAAAAATGCATTTTATACAAAATCATTGCGTTTTTAATTAATTTCACTAAATATTTATTTCCAAGTCAAATTATTTTTTATTTTAGTATCAACAATATATATTAAGTATTTAGGATTAATAAATTCAATGAATGTACATTTGTTGAAATTTGTCAATTTAAAAGTACATTAAAAATATACACTTTTAAAATTGGAAAAATTAAAAATATTTATTTCATTTTTACAAATAATCAATCATTAGTTAATTGTAAAGAATTTCAGCAAACGCTGCTACCGATGCAACATACAATTATTTTATTGTATCTGAAAAGTATTTTTTATATTAATATAATAGCATAAGACTAAGGTACCGCCATTACTCATCGATAAACTTATTATAATAATATTATATATTTTTATGAAATAATAGGAATTGTATTAAAATGATATATAATACATTTGGGGTAATGGGGTGTATCAAGAGAATGAAATAAAGAACATTCAATTAATCGTGTACGAAACAACGGAGAAGCTATTAAAGAGAGACAAAGAAATCGTTTTTCAGAGTTTAATTTAGATGTTCATTAAAATTTATGGTATCTACGGAAGTGAAACTATTTCGAATGACAAGATTGAAAAAGTAATTTGAGGAAGTTAAAGAGAAAATATCAGAGAAACAAAAAATAATTTTTACCTCGGTAGATATAAACTTCTAAGATTTTACGCTCATTCAATTTAAGTATTTAATTAAATATAAAAATGTATAAATATTACCTATTATATTATAATGATTAATGGCGTGGTAAATTATATTTTTAGCACTTAAAAAAACAAATTAAGTACATCAAACCATTTTTGAGATTTTTAAGTATACATAAATACTATATATTTTTTAAGTACATCGTAGTTTTTCTATTCTATTTCAAAAGTGGCTTTAAACGTTTTTAGTGCAATATTGGAGTAGGTAATTTTATAAGCGCAATTAGCTAGCTCCCGTTCGATAATCTGAAGTCTGTAACCGAATACGGAAAATTGTAACAGGAAAATTGTATAGGTAACTACGCGGTATGCGTTTAGAAAGAAAAAATTTTGTACCGCGTCCAAAGAACCGGGGTAAATATAACTCGGTTTCGTTTCCGGACGGACTCGAGAAGAGTGAAAAAAGTTCGTTTTGTGTCTTAGTCACTTTCTGACACCGCGGAAGACGGCAAATGCGACTGAACGAGACAAACCCGCTAATAGACGACACGTACCACCACCACAACAACAATAATAACAATAATCAAATAAGCTGCGCTCAACGGTCAATAAATAATTATTGTGTAACCAGTCGTTCAGTCGTCGTCACGTTTCACCGAGGTTCGGATTGGCTTTTTACCAGCTGCTGCTGCAGGTATCCGACGGTCAACCGGCCACTGATAAAAAAACCAAAGTGCGTACGAAAATTTAAATAATTATATCAATTAATAATATCATCAAACAAGCAATTAAAATTTATTGTGGTATGCCTAAGCCTAATGTCAATTATACTGCAGGTGATAATAATTATCCGTCGTCGGTCCGCTAAAAACGGCGACACAGCTATAATTGCTGCTAACGTCTCGCCGCTACGTACCCGGCAGCGCCATCTCCCGGACAACACCGTCGTCGACCGACGGACAAGCTTCTCACAGATAGCGGAAACACTCCGGACTTCGCCCACCGCCCGACGCGCGACGTCGGCGACTCCCGACTTGCCGATTACCAAGACACTGGACGCCGTCATGGGCCTGTTGTTCCGCCGCTTGTTGCCGTCAACAACTGTCGTCGTTTCTTCGTCGTTGATCGTGAGTATCTGCACAGAAATTAATTTTAAAAGGTCGGGCGTTCCTTGGGTCGTAGGTTGATACCTGACCGTGTCCGTCGGCCGACTTGGGCCGGTCTCATGTCGTGTAGTGGTCGAACAGACCAGCTGACCACCGCCGTAGGCAATCGCGCACCTGTGATGCGGTGAACACACATTATGACATAGGGCGGGACCCGCCATTTCCGATTTCGGTATAGGGCTGTCGGGCCGTGGGCCGCGTACGGAATGCGATTGCGACTCCAGCACCTTTCTCGGGAATCACGCTCTATTCGTAACTAATTTTATTCTTACACGACTTATTCTTTCGTGATGATAATATTGTCGTTCGTATTTCTACAGTTCATATTTAAACGTAAAAGTTAAAAAACAACTGAAAATATTATTACATTGGCTTAGATAATCCGACGGTTTTAAGATTATTTCCTTATCGGAGGAATTGATTTAATTCAAAATGTTCATAATAAAAACTATATACGTACAATATAATATAATATTATAGATATTTATACGGAATTATAGGAGCGATTTGCAAGGGTTAAGTGACCAGGTGACCCAGGCCATAGTTACTATGGCGTTGGGAACCATACCAATGAATAATGACAATAATTATTATACTTATCAGTAATTGTTTTAGTGTTGTTATTGTCACCATAGTAATAGATTATTATATTTTTATTGATGGAAATACCCGTGAAAAAATGTCTTAGCTAGTATATGATATTGTACACTATTGATTACTACAGTTGTAAATGTATTACTATTTACTACCTAAATAATATTAAAGGTTAGGAAAAGATACTTCAAATTGAATAGTTCAATATAATATCTTTATATAATGGCAAAGTGTTACCTATTTGACTAAAACTAGTGTTGTATAGAAATTGCAAAATAAATGAATTTTAATTATCAATTTACATGCTATTTATTATTTACATTAATAATATACATGTATAAATTTGAAATTTTAATATTAATAAAATATCTTTATGAATACAATATATAACTAAACTGATTCTACTAATAAGTAATAACTAAATATTTATACAACGTTACTAGGTTCATAATGTGATTATAATAATACATGACTATGAGTAATCATCAAGGTCAAAGTGTCTACTGATAATAATATATAAACTATAGGTCTTTAATGCAACAATGGTAAACATTTCAACAATTCACATTTTGTTTGTATCAGTACTGGTAGTTGCATTTGTGTTCAGCCTCAATTGGTCTGTAAATAATGTATTTATGATAGTTAAGTAATAATTGTTATTGTTTTCTTGGACTATGCACATAGTTGTTACTTATTTCAAAGCCTTAGAGCCTAATTTAAAATGTTATAATTATTAATTAGTCAGGGTTTTTATTTTTTATGTATTAGTTTCAGAGCAAAAGTCTTAGTAACACAGCGAACAAAATGGCCGAAGATTGGAAGAATGCCAAATCAGTTTATGATTTTACGGTAAAGGACATCAAGGGAGAAGATGTATCATTGGAAAAATACAAGTATGAAGAACTATACTGAAATTACTTCTTTAAAAAACTAACCTTTATATTATTTTTGTTTTTTAGAGGTTGTGTATTGATCATTGTAAACGTAGCATCTAAATGTGGTTATACATCTAAGCATTACAAAGAGTTAGTTGAGCTAGATGAGAAGTATCGTGACAAAGGGTTAAAAATTCTCGGTTTTCCATGTAATCAATTTGGAGGCCAGGTAAATCTACTATTACATTGATAATTTAGTTTTTTTAAATTTATTTTAGCCAAATCATTTTAATTTATCTTTAGTCTTTGTAAAAATTCCAACTAGTCTAGTTTAATCATATTTCTATCAATCTAAGAATTGCCAATTGACCATAAGTAAAAGTCCAAATTTATTAGTGAGTCTAAATAAGACTAGTATGAAAAATATTCCGATTAATGTGTCCTTATCACCAGTCACCTATGTTCTTTTACTGGGATACTAATTTTATAGTTAGCTAGCTATTATCTGCAATTGTTAATTTAATTTTAGGTTTATTCAGTTATGGATGCGTTTAACCTTAATATTTGTTAATTATTCTAAACTTTAAATGCTTAATCTTGCAATTATAACTTCATTATTTCTTATTTATGCATAATATATATATATCAATAATTTATAATATTCAATATGAAATATGAAATTTTAAATAGCAGTTAATAGATATTTAAATAATCTTCATCAATTTCTGATAAAAACAAAAATCAATTTTCCTTTAAAAAAATTGCAGATAATCGCTGACCAATGATACAATTACGAGAGACAATTAAAAAGTAAGTTGCATTGGGCCATATATTTTGCAACTAATATGCAACTTACTTTTTGATTGTCCCTTGTATCAATTGTGTTTTCTGGATATTAATGATTTATTTATTCTCAACATATTGATTATATCATAATATATTTTTTAGGAACCTGGTGATTCTGAAAATATTTGCAGCTTTACTGCAAAACGAAATGTTAAATTTGACATATTTGAAAAAGTTGATGTCAATGGCAATGATGCACATCCATTATGGAAATATTTGAAATCAAAACAAGGCGGTTTATTGATTGAGTAAGTAAATATGGTAATTTTGTATTAATGTACTGACAGTGAATATTTGAATGATACTTTGGACAAATAAATTGTTTACTTAATATATATGGTTTAGGAAATAATAATTCATTGTTTGTTCATTTTTGTGAATTTTTAGTTCCTACTTTTCAGAATGTATTCTAATATATATTGTAAATATCACATTTTGTTGCATTTTATTTTACATAATAATATAGTATAATAGTAAATAATACCTCATTAATATTATAATTATAATTTATAACTGTATGAATATGATTGTATGATATTTCCATCAATTTGAGTAAAATAAGTATAGATTATAATGTTATTAATAAGCATGGTTGTAGATATACTGGTTGCACAACCATACAAAATAAATAATTGACCCTCATACTAATAGCAATATTATAAGAATGAAGAACTACAGCAGGGATGGCGAACCTTTTTGTACCAGCGTGTCCAATAAAAATGTTGGTTGGGTTTTGTTTTCCCTGCGTGTCAACTAGTTTGATAACCTTTCAATTTTTTTTTCATAAACTTTAATATTATCAAATTTTTACACATTCGTGTGTGTCATTAAAATAGTGTGCGCTTGTCACTCTGTGACACTCGTGTCATAGGTTCGCCGTCTCTGAACTACAGGATCTTTCCTTGTGTGAAATTGTTGATACAAAATCAACATGCTACCATAGTCTATAAGACAATTTTCTGGATTGCCACTAGTGTTCACTACAATCTTGGTCTACAGGGAATCTTTTCACATGACATATTGGAATGGTCTATGTAATATGGCAATTTAATATGGGAGTTGTGTAACTTGTACCTGTATCTTTTTTTTTTTTTTTTTTTTTTTTTTTTTTGAACTTAAGCTTCGGCAACTGAGGCCATTAGCTGTAGTAGGATTTGTATTGTAGTTTGTATTGTATATTTTTTGGAACGGTAGGGGGGAACACGTGTGTGTTTGTTTTTTGGCAGAATTTCGAATGGGGCACCCGTAGGTTTCTGCCATGCCCCGGGGGTGGGGGATGGCAGCACTTGTTCTCCGGTCACCGCGACTTGTCCGGAGAAAAATGCCGCCCGGTAACCGAGGATCGAACCGCGACCGGACGCGTCAGACCACTCGGTCACCTCATCCCCCGTACCTGTATCTATTATTATGCTAAAAAGTAATATTGTAATCTGACATATTATGTTATACTTAGGAGCTCAGATATTAACGGATTCTATATAAAAGTATAAAAATTTAAGTACATAACATTTATTGAAATCTGTTTTATTTATTACTTTTTGGTGTTTCTTGAACACTACAAAAATCAACTAAAAAAATTCCCAGATAGGTAAACTTAATTATAGGATTACCCTCATTAAGTTATAGAACATTATTTTACATTTATTTTCCTTCATGTAGATACATATAAAAACTGTTTTTCTTCTTAAATATTATTCAAATGAAAGTTTAAATAACTATTTTTATGCCCTCCTTTTAGGTACCCTCTATGATAATAGAGAAATATTACTCAATAATAAATAGCTTATATTACGCAGGATTTGGGACATCTTTTTTTACATCTGACATGGTAGTGGTGGAACAGCGTGAGCAATACTTCCCCAGACTTAAGCACTATAAATTATTAAAATGTGCGCTTATATATACTCAAAAAAATTAAAAAATTAAAAACAAATTTAATTCATTCTTAAAAATTTGACATTTATATAAATTATACAAAATGAAAATACTAAAAAAAAAAAACTACAATTAAAATATTAAACTTTCTAGGTGGACATTAATGTATACTTTTAACTTGAAGGTATTGCTCATTTAAAACACTTTAAAAAGTTTCAATATAATTTCATATATGTTTTGCAAACTTATATTACGTATATTTATTTTAAAGATTTTATAATTGTTATTTTTACCTTTCAGTTCTATTAAATGGAATTTCACCAAATTCATTGTTGACAAAAACGGACAACCTGTTGAAAGGCATGCTGCTAATGTTAGCCCTTTGGTAATATAGTTTATTTTATTTTATTTATATAAATAGTAGAAGTTTTAGTAAAAAAATCTTCTCAGAGCAGGTATTATAATTTTAATTTTTCATCTTAACTAACTAAATAATTTTTATTATTCAATACTTAAGAGTTAAATTGATTGACAAAGATTATTTTAGTTTGTATGTTTAAATTTATATTTTTTTAACAAAATAAAATACATTTTCATTTCTCAACAAAAGTTTTTAAATTTCAAAGAAAGAAACAGAAAGCAAAATAAAAAAAAACTTAATATACTTATTGTATGGAAAAGTACCTTCCTCATTTATTATTGTCTTTATGAATTCAATGCAATTGCAAGTTGTTTATTGTTCAAAACTTATATCAGAGCTATTTATCTTTAATTCTTAATTTATGTTTATAAATAATTTAGATTTAATTTTTAAACTCAAAATATTGTTTCTTAATAATTTGTATTAAGTATAACAGTAGTGTAAATTAAATTCTTTATGTAATCTATTTAAAAACAAAATATAATTCATATAAAGAATACTGTTTTATTATAATGTTATTTTTATGATGTTTCAGGGTTTGGAGAAGAATTTGGAAAAATATTTGTAAAAGCTTCTATGATCAAAATAATAATATAATCTTTCATATCTCAATTTTATTCTATTTAAGTGATTCAATTTGTTTTTCACAATATTAATAAGGCTGCAGTTTACCTATTGGCTATTAAGAATTTTTTTTTGTTTTATTTTTTTTTTAGAAAACTATTTGTTTAATCATAATTTTGGTCTTCAATGTATAAAGCAATAATTATGTGTATGCTAGCTTTTTGTTGTTTGTTAAAATATGGATCAGATCAATTATTTGTTTTTATTTACAATTTGTTTACTAAATCATATATCCTGTCATATTGTCAGCTTGGCAGCTGCATAAATCTATAAGTATCAAGTTTCAAAGAGCAGCTGCACATAAAATACTGTCAAGCAGTTATCAACATCGTACAAATAATTTAAAAGTTAACTTTAATAAATAAAAAAATGAAGATTCAAGAATGCATTCTTCTAATTTTTGCCACAATTTCATTTTGGGTAAGTAAGTTGACAAAAACTGTTTGAATTACAGAAGAGTTATACCAGAAATACGTTACTTGGTTAAATATTTCACTTGCACGACATTTATTATATATTTGCCTAATTTGATCATTATTTTCAATTCTGATCGTACCAATGAATGTATTGATTTTACAATGATATGTGTTTTTCTTGTGTTTATACACAAAATATTTTCTGGTTAAAAAGTGAATCTAGTTAGTACATTTGGGAGTCAGCATTAAAAATTCCCTGAACCTATTTCCTTTATGGTTGGAAAAACACTAAATCAATTTTCAACCAAGTCTGCTGTTATACTTAATAAATTCCTGCAGATACTTACTGATTTCACCAATTATTTATTTTAGCATTTTCTATACATGAACATTGTTAAATTGTATAGGTAAAAAAAATATTGTCGATATAATTAAGTTTTTTAATTTAATGACTGTTGAATTAAAATTTAACGCATACATACTCAACAGTAACTAACTCAAAGAAGAAGTACACTCAACACTGACCTACAGTAAAACACTAATGTTAAAAAAAATTAATTAATTTGTTTTTATAGAAAACAATATAAATCAAAATCAATAAAATACACATGTGTCATGTCCATTCTCCATAATATCATACATATGCCTAATATTTAATGTATACATTGTACATACACCTACAATACACATTTGAAAAAATATTTATATGGGTAATGTTTAGGTGCATTATTAGAATAAGGTACATCAGTAATATGTTGATGGGAAACAAACTAAATAAATAATATTTTACTAATTGATATTATTTTTATTATGCTCGCATTGTTATGCAATTAATATACATATTATTAAATACTCCTTGAGTAATAAATATACATATAAAATAAATTATCATACTCCATATTCATATGAGAAAATGTATGGTAACAATAACTATTACATAAAAAATGTGGGGAAATGAGTACCTCTCTGCTGTAGAGGTGTTGAGTGGGTCACTAAAATATGTGTTACATTTTAGTTCTATGATACCATTATGAATCATTGCATATGAAAAATGATTCTTCGATATTTTTCTCTGTCTGCCAATACCCAATGTAACAGCATATTTAATGATATTGCTATTTTTTTAGAGTAATCTATTCTCCTATTAGTAGGTCAGTACTAATAATGTACCTATTACAGTAAAAGTTGAATTGATTTTGCCTAAGCAAATGCATTGCTTTAGAATATATGATTGTATGTTTAAATTTTTTAAATATAATAACATACCTAGGTACTCAAAAAGTTTCATCTTTCAAGAACACACGAATAATATTTTCACATTAAAACAAAATAACAAAATTTCTTTGTTTCAATAGGTATCTAATTTCGTCCAAATTTGAACTTGAAATTTTTATAAAAAAACTACTCATGTATTTTTATGTTATAAGTTTAAGAGAATTAAACAGTTATAATAGGGATCCTGTATTAAAAGAATTTATAGAAATTAAACGTTTTTCAAATTTTTAGCTAAATAATTGATGACATTTGTCAATTTTTTTTTTGCAAAACAACTTGTGTTTATGTATCTTTAATATTTTGAAATTTGTGTACTACGTCTACGTGTCTACGTACTTATGAGATACCTTGTATTAAATATTTGAGCTATTTTACATCTAAAACATTTCGATTGACAATTAGAATATTAAAACAAAAAAAATTTGAATTTAAATTGTTTATCAGTATCTCAAAAAGAAAAAAAAAATGTTATCATACATAGAAAATACTAACAAAAACATTTGGTGAGCATTATTCGCTTTTGCGTTGCAAATTAAAAAACTCGATTTTGTCGAAAACTGGTTTTGTGTAAGAATTCCCGTTTACCTTAATTTTTGTTTGTTTTTCCAGACGTTTTTGAAAAGTACCTACTAAGCATTTTCTATTTTGATCTCCTAAAAGTACCAACAAGGCCCAACTAGGAACCACTGTCAAAATTTGAAATCTAAGTATTATTATTTCTATACTTATCGTGTATAACTTACATAGAAAAAAAAGCCTCATCATTGTAAAATCCATACTATACATTCACTCAGAATTCAAGATAAATAATAACCGGTCATCATACAACAATATGACTAAAATCAGACAATTTAAAATTTAAGTCAAATGCATAAATCGCTGATTAATTTTCATTCAACTAGGTATATAGAGGTTCAGTATAATTTTTATAATTAATGTTATAAGTAATAATTATACGCATTCGATCTAAATATTATTCCAATTGGGTATTTATATTATACCAGTTCATGTGTATTCTTATACCTTATAATACCTACATGGTCTGTTCGGTAGTTATTTTAAAAAGCAGCATGTAAAATTTGATGTATTACCTACCTACGCTGTTATATTATAACAGTATATAGCATATCAATTATAAGTCATAAGTTTTAACTTATGAGCTTAAGTAGTTGTAACTTGTGAGGTCCAAACAGAAATAACAAATGTGATCGGCAATACATTTATAGTAGCTACTTACTTAATATTGCGTCGTACAAAATGTATAACAATTACTGTAGAAATTTAAATTTTTATTATTCAAACTAAATTGTCCGTATCGAGATCGTTCTGAAGGGAAAGAAAAATAGAAACGTTTCCTATATTTTGCATAATAATAGGTAAGTACCTAGGTACGTAAGAATGTATGTCGTATGACATATCAACACAGCTATAAATAAATAGGCAGGCACGTCGGAAGACAAAAAGATATTATAGACCAACCCGCTTGTAACTAGTCGAGACAGATGTAAAAATACAAAATTTATAATAGGTACTCTCGGATGGCGGATGCACATAATTATAACATAAGTATATTAAGTAAATACAGTAAATATAGAGGTACCTGGTACCTGCTATCGCAACATTTCTACTTAATGTTTGTTCTTGACAATTTGCAGCCTATTGAGTGAAATGCATAAAGTTCGCGTAACGTTGTCGAATCAAAAATGGCTATTAAAATATTGTAGGTAACTATATTAAGTGGCGGTGCTTGGAATTTTATCTTGGGGGAGGGGGGCATTGGTGGCCTTTGAAAATTTGGTAGGGCCAAAAAAGCCCCGATTCGTGGTTTTTTTCCCATTCAGAGGCTCAGTATAGGGTAGGGGGCTTACACACTATTTATTGTAAAGATTGTGTAGCATATACTAAGTTTTTACATAATTATTGGTTTTCATTTTAATTGATAATAAATATCATATAGGTATTATTGGTATATTATTTAATTTTTACACACTTAAACATTAGATATCATTCTCAACGAACTTACATTAAAAATGTGTACTTTATTATAAATTTAAAGAATTTTTTTTCTCTTGTGGTTAGGCGGTCAAGGGGGGCCAAGACAAATTTGGGGGGGGCGTGGGTATATTATACACATACACAGTAAATTAGTTAGATTGAATAGTGATTACTAAATTCTACCTACTTATATCTATTATTGGTATCTACTTTAAAACATTATAAAAATATTAATTAAAATATAGAAAAACTGTAAAAAAAGGTCTGGATTTAGAATTATAATAGAATGCCATTAAAAAAATTCCAAAATCTAAAAAATCATCTTTTTAAAAATTGGGTTTTTGTGTCAAAATGTATAGTGATATTCCGATATACCTACTGATATATCTTTCAATTGATACAAATTGTCAAAATAATGTCTCTAGAATCTCACTGTATATTCATTGGGTATGTATAGTTTATACTACACTTCTAGTACTACTGCACTTTATATAAAAGATAGTAAATAAATTATTATACTCATTCGTGAAAAAGAAACAGAACAGAAGGCGACCTGCGTTTTCGTCTTTAAAAACTAACCGCTAACCCTGTGAAGCAGCTCACTTACTCATTAGCATATATCATGCATAATAACATAATACAATTTAAACATAACCCGTATTGTCAATTATGAATTATGATACATTGTATATTGCAGAATATAGGTAACGTAGAAAAAACTATGTTATAATTTAATAATTATTTATAAGTAAATATTATATAGTTATAGCTGTACAGGTAAATTAATGCGTGTAATTAGGCACACCTATGGAATTGCAATAATAATCATGTGATGTCGAAGATGGTTCCATACATGATAGCCATTGGACACAATATAGCTATGTAGGTAATAGGTATTGTCGTTAAAAAAGTAATAAATAATAATGTTTAATTTATATATTATGTTCACACACGATACATTGACCAGCCGGATGAACGTCTGCAGGTAGAATACTTACGCGCATTACAATGCTTTAAATAATAATATTGTTTAACGGGCGTTTTTTTTTGCTCTCGAATAGCCTACCGATTTCCATACTATTTATACTATCACTCATTCGACCATCGTTACTCGTTTGTTCATACTAAATAAGTAGCCATTAAGGATAATTTAGATTAGAAGCTAAAATATATTAATTACATAACTTTTTGACCAATTTGTAGAGCATTTGATAATGTTTCTTTCATTTTTTCCTGAACTATATTAATAAAATGTTTGTTTCTCGGTCAAAAAGTTTGAAAACTCAATACAAAGTCCTTCATAAGTTTTTCTTGCAGAAATAAAAAATTAGTTTCGCATATATACATATATGCCATGTAAACTTGCTGGTAAGCTTTGTCGCGTACATCCATCTAATCACTGTCCACTGTTCTCATACTAGCTATACATATTTTTTTTTCAAAACGTACTGAACAGTAGGTACCCTTATTAAACTAAAATAATAAATACAATATTGTCAATATTTATTAACAGGTAGGTAGGTATATTAATTATTATTTTCTATAGTATGTTTTTCCTTATCTAAACTAGAAATAAATAAAACATTTTTTTGCGTTTCTTAAAATTGAGATGTTCGAGATAAAATTAGTCAAATATTGTGCTAATTTATATGTTGATATTTTTAAATTTTAATTACTAATTTTCATAAAGAATTCAAATGGTTAAGTGAGTTTAAGCTAGAGGCAAGTCGATGATGTACGTTTAGTATATATATAATACATGGATGTGAGTAAAAGTCAAACAAACAAAGTGAAACACATCGTATAAACGCAGTTAAATCGTACCTATATAGGTGTGTACCATATATATATGATTATTATACAGTTCGATTATTGTTTACTCTTGTAAACGTCAACACATAGTATCGCACAGTATCACACCACCACGTCTCATATTTTACCGTGTGTTCAAACAGATATAAAAAATAAAATGCGTCGCATTAAAACGAATGCTCCAATCATGCACTGTGCAGCTATATAGATAACATTATGCAATACATACATGTGTAGGTTTGTCATATATTTTATAAACGTATAATATTATAATAGATAATATAATGTATATTTAACCAGTTGATGTCTTATAGTGACTAGTGCTCTATACACCGTCGGATACCTACTGCATGCGGACAAGCTAAAACAGTCTCGGATTCCGCATTGGACCTTTTCAATTAATTACCAAAAAGAAAAATACAACTCAAAAGAATATAATATCATAACATCAACTTTTCGTGCGGTCTCTCTTACTTTGTTTATCTATCGAACGGCTAAACGTGAGTGTAGGTCAACAATGCTGTACATTTTGTTATATTTTATTTTTCCCCAGCACACGATGATTAGACGTGCTGCGCATTCTTTTTTCGCGCACGCGCGATACGCGTCCAATACATACCTTTACTTGTAGGGAAACGACTTACGAAAAGTTTGCATGCTGGGCACGCGGTGGCGGCGGCGGCGCGCGGTATATAATAATAACATAACGCCGCGCGTGACGGACATTAAAGTCAACTGCGTGGTGAATTCGACCCCGTTGTATGATATATATACCTATACGTATACGATTTCAGTTTTCTTGTGAATTTCTATATATTACATCGCGGGACCAGCTACGGAGTTCCAAACTAGCTAGGTCCTAAGTAAAAAGCCAACAGTGTATATATATATATCATGGTCAAGTATTTATGTAGTTAATATATTTATACATCAAACGCCCAGCAGCAGTGCAACTACATAGAGAGGGGATGTGGTCCCAGACCACTACTCTCCCCCCACCGAGCCCATTATACGATTAAATGGGAATAAACCGTCCATAATTCCATTACCATATTATGTATTATGTATAAACATTTTAAAGTTTGTCAAGTCGTGTTACGCATACCTATATGTGGCTATACGTACTATGTATGTAATAGACGCGTATGTATATTCCTGGGGTGGTCAAAATTATTTGATTAAGTCATAAAGGTCTACCGGGAATATATCTTTGTGGTATACCCTCCCGCCGTCGATCACAGGAGTATAATATACTCATATATTAATATATTATACGAGTGTATCGACAATCGACTATCGATGCCGTATGCGCAAAAGTAAATCCTCCGCTGTCGTAAAATAACTGCAACAGGGCGCACCCGGAACCTAAGCCGGCAGTCTTATTTATTGTTATTATTAGTATTTTTTTTTTATCACAGATACATCGTAACGAATCCTATCGTACGATATTTTTATTTTTTGTTCCCCTGGCTGTAATTTAGCTTAAGTATATGAGTGTACATATATATATATATATTATATATATATATGTACGATCAAACGCTACAGGAGGGGTGAAAATTCGCGGCACTCGCCAATCGTAGCGCTCGGTACGCGATTATATTATATCATTGCAGTCGCTCGGGAAGGACGAGCCACTTTTTTTCAACCTCCGTCTCATCGATGGTGGTGGGTAGAAAGCTTAACGGTAGACCGTTAAAGTTTCCCGCTGTGCGAAGATGTTAGCGCCGGGGGCGAACATATGCGCGCGCAGGCGCGTAGATGAGCAGATCTGCCACCACCTCCACCTGCACATTGCACAACCCCCTTTATCGGTCTAGTGATATATATATGTATATATATACAATCGAACTCGTTCTTAAATATGTTTATACTAGTATTAATATATCACATTTTATTATTGAACACTTCATACCGGCCACAGTTGTTGCGGACTGTTTTTAAACACAACCACGTTATATTAGGTATTGATTAATACGTATCATACTATTATTTAAAGGCATATGTATAACTTATGTCCGTGTAGTCCGTTTTAATAATCATATAGTTGTACGATTCCCATAGAAGAAATATTATAAGTTCGATGAAAATGTGTTTGAATTCAGATCATTCTGATCCAACATTTTTTTAGTGCTTTCAATTGATATCCTTGATTATATAATAGACAAGTAGGATAACTTTTTTAACTAGGACTTTGAAATAAGAACCAGGCAACTCATCTCTTCTGCTGTATGGTATAAAGGTTTAAAATTAGGCCCTTCCTTATGTGTAATACGAAATTGTGTATGGTAATAAGATATGATTGAGTGTGAAACGACTTATACTTTGTAACAGTATATATTTAGATTATTTTAAGTAATAACAAATTACAGTTCGAGACATTTTAATGAAAATAAGCATTGTTAAGTTTTTATATATTTTTGATCACGTTATCCAATACTTACTTGACAATGACAAATATGTATAGTATGTAATTAATTATTTATTTAAATTAATTAAACATTCAAACAATAAGCTTAGTTAAAAACATGCATGAATGCATGATTATTTTTGTTTAAATAAAAAGGGAAAATACCGACACGTGTGTTGTGTGTTGTATCTACAAGACGCTTGTACCTAAGGTGTAATTCAAAAAAAAATTACAAAAAAATGGGCCTTGTTTCAATATTTTACCTTGTCGTTGAGTAGGACACTATATGAATGTATAACACTGTGTAAGATGTGTTAAATTTCAATTCAATAATAATAAAATCATAATCATAATCATTGCATACTTATGTGAAAACCCTTTCTGAGATAAGCAGGAGACTGATAGATCAGCATCTATTCTTATAGATGATTTATCTAATATTATACTTATACCGTGTTTACATAAGTGATAAATTCGTTTGGTTGAAATCATTTTTACCAAAAACAACATCATATAATATTCGTACGCATCATAATTTATAACAATATATTAGTATGCACAAGTAACTTACGAAACTTATATTATATAGTCTTAAATTCAATTTTAATGTGTAAATGCCACTAAATGGTATGTATAATATTATAACGATATACACCTTGAAACGGTGTAAATATAGGCTCGCAATACCGCAGAGATCAACATAAGATTCATTTGTATACAGATAATACAAATGTGCGTAATGCTAAAAAGTTTAAATTTTCAACAAATAATATTTATTGAATTACAAAAAAAAAATCAAAATCATTAATTATTTGAACATGTAGAATGCCATTAAAAATTAAAATGATATCTTAAATTGCTTATAAAGTTACAGCAAAAAAAAATTTATAAATATTTGTTTCAGATATTAACAAGTATACAGAAAATTGAATAACCTTGTATATTAATAGTTTTCAAGCCATAGGTTTTTAAATGAAAATCTTATGAATTTATAACTAGAAGAAATGTTCAAAATCTCTTTTTAAAATCAACACATACCTTCACACATTTCTCGTTCCTCGTAGAATCTAATATATAGTAGTTCCGTCCGTATTTGAAAAGGACATTTTAAGGGTACATCCTTGAAGTTATTTTGTGACTGATTGTGACTATACGAGAACAATAAACTATGATCGGAACATTCTATACCACCACCATAATTCTAGGTTTAGGCGAAGGACCTGACTCATTATTGTCCCTAATTTATCCCTGAATATGTATAAACAATGTTCTGAAACTGTATTATGCCAACAAGATACTATTTGCGTATACGGGTTATCAAATGAATTAATTTTTATCGCAGGCCGAACCATTTTCTGCAGTCAACTGCCAACAAGGATACAGCAACCCTCTTAATCTCAACTGGCCGACGTCGGCCGACATTTTAGAATCGTCACCATTCGGATACGACAAATCGTCGTTTGAATCTAACTCGGACGAGGAATCATGCTGCAACTTATACAACTTTGTCGTGAAAAGACCCAACGGACAGGACGTTTGTTTGAAACAATACGCGTAAGTGCCGCATAGGTTCTTGTAAATTGCTATAATTCGCGGTGCACACGCTAAGAGCGGCAGAACGATTTTGGATCGATCAACTATCTTTAAAAGCTAAGTACAGGTGCATATGGGTACATATTCTGGTACCTACGTGGGACTAAGCTTTCAAATACACGTATTAGATATTGGCATTCAGCTTGAAATAAAAATAAGATTATAATATATAATATATCCCTCCCTCCGCCTAAAGATTTGTATTTTTAATAAATATATTTGTAAAAATGTAAATCAAGTATGATGCTGTCTTTTGGCTGCCTATAGGATTTGAAAAATAAGATATAAACATCCTCCAAGTCTCGAGAAATCTATTGTTATAACTTTTATTTAAAACGGTCTATAAATAGAACCAACATCCCAACTTCAACTGTGAAAAATATAAAATAATATAATATATATATAAAGATATACAGGCTTATACTTTTGTATACGCTTTTTCTGATATCTCCAAGAACAATTTGAAATTTTCACAAAATCGGTTGAGTAGATTTTGAGTACCTATATAAGCTAAAAACATACTCAACTTTATATTTGTCTTAAGACATAATATCTTTGTTTGAAACCATAAACGCTAAAATTTAACGCATGCTTTTACCTATCTACCAATAATTACTAATTTCTTCTTTTACTATTTTAGTGTTATAACCTGTAGGCTGTAACCGATATCAACCATTTATAAACAAAAATGTCTATCTTAAATCTCAAAATCCTTTCTTAATTGTTAAATAAAAAAATTAAGGTTACTTATGAAGATAATAACTATCCTATCTTATAAGTTAGACCAAATAAAACTCCATATATCGGATTAATCAAGGGCAATCATATACACATTACACATATATATATATTATTTACAAAAAAAATACTCTTTTCTACAAATTTATACTTTAACTATTTTAACCTTTAACCAATGACAACTATTTATAACCAACAAAAAACAATTTTCGGTTTCCATAGTGAATCTCAAAATTTTTCTGTGAGCACCTCTTTAAAATGCGAATTTTGGAAAATCTTATCTTAGTGCACTTCGTGCCATAAAGGTACTATGGAAAATTCTAGTCTCCAGATATCAAAGTTTAGGCTCTATTTTGATCAGTCAGTCAGTTGGTCAGGACGCGTTCGATTATATATTATATGAATGATCTATAAGTTTATAAGAAAAGCTGTGCCACTATAATACTAATTTACAGGGTGATTCACAAAGGAGAGATGTATGTTCTGTAGATTTTACAATAATTTGTGTTTTTTAATGTTTTGTATCTGAAGATACTTTTATAGCAAATAATATGCAAAAGTCTTCAACATTCAGAGTGCTGAAAATCTATTCAAGTTGGTACTTGGGGTTGGGGTTCAAAGTAAAAAATTATACGTAGTATCAGAAGAAAAAAAAATAGGGAAAACAGGAATTTTTGCTTTATTCATAAATATTTGATACTGTTCACCGTTTTTAGATGTTTTCGATACACGTATGTATGATACAATTTTTGTTTATATGTACAAATCTTGAAAGTTTAATAAATGATTCCACATAAGTTGATCTTAAAGCAATTTATAAATATCGAAAATACATTGGTAAGATTTTGATTTATAAGTGTTTGATAACATTTTCCAAAATCACAAGAACTACCTATGTACATTAATTATATTATTTTAATTTTAATAAATTAAGCCACGATGAGTTAATACTCAGCATAATACTAATGGACTCGTGGCATTGAATTGAATACAGTTGGACCTAAATAGTTCGAAAAATGTTTGCCAATGTATTTTTCATGTGCCAAATCCTCATGCCGTATACGTTCTACTGTCACGGATTCGGATTCTTATAATAATTATATATGAATGATTTGATAAGACAAAATGATTGTACATAAATCTGACAAAAGTATCGGTACCTACTTTAACCTCTTTGTAATTTAAAAAGTAAAACTGAGAATTCTTGTATAACTTTTATATTTAGACATATATTATGTTTATGTATGTAGTCTTATTGTACTTCTATCGGAGTTGTGAGTTATTGATACAGCCGACACAGCTCCCCCGCCCATCCACCCAAATATAATTAACCCATACTGAATGACCGACTTGTACAGCAATATCTATTTCAGTACATGGCCTCGTGATGTAGGCATACAATAGGTACATTATAAATAATAATATATGGTGATATAATGTACATAAATATTTGGATTGCAGTGGAAAAGTGTTGATCATTTTGAATTACGCGTCCGGATGCGGTTTTACACAGGACAACGTTTGCACTCTGACGGAATTTTCCAACAAGTACAGGGCATGTGGCTTAGAAATACTGGTATTCCCCAGCAACGACTTCTCCCAGGTAATGACTTTAATATGAACCACACGTTAAATTGATTATTATAAACTGTTGTTTTTATCAGTTGTCTTTAAATTATAAGTTGATCAGTTAGTATATAGGTGCATTTTGGAGCTCTAAAATGTTGAGAATTCCTAGTATAATTTATCGACGCAGCTTGTATAAAAATGCTGTACAAGAATATAAGACGTTTGAATTAAGAAATTGGTTTTACAAATGTCTTATCTATAAACAGGGAAAATGAACTTTATAGAGAAAATTTATAATCCGCCTACTTAATTATTAGTATGCTGTATACAACATACCTACAATGCTGCAAGAAAACGCCATCTCCAAAAAATAACATTTGTAAATGATTTAGAACGATATACAGCGCCAAAACATACCTATTAGTAAATGCCAAATCTAAAAACAGTCCAATGAGTTTCTTTTAAAAATAAAATTGTATATAAATATATAATAGTTATATCAGTTGGGAAAATTTAAATAAATATTATAAATTATCATAAAATAATTGATGTGGATAAAATGCACTATACTTATGATTTTAACCTGCTGGATAAAAGTGGGTACAATTCACGTGCATAAGTATACACTTTTTTACATGTGAACATTTTTATTTTTTTTATACAAATCATATCCGTTACAATGATTTTGGATTGGGTTTAATTAGATTATTCTTGTTGACAATCGTTATTTTCTATGACGCTTTCGTTTTATGCCAGACCGCTACAGTAAACTACCTAAAACTTGCACACATAAATATGAACTATGAGTTATTGTTAATAATATATTTTATCCATATAATAGAACTTCGGCGGGAATACTGCAGCCCAAATATTTGCAGATAATCATCCTCAATTCGAAGTGTTTGCAGAAATTTGCGTAAATGGTAGAGCACAACATCCGATGTACAGATTTCTCAAGAATAAGTTGCCCGGCGCATTCAACACAAAGTAATGCTGCCAGATGTGAAATTTATCTCATTTTTTGTATTGCAGACTTCTTAAGTACGGCTAATAATGCTTGTGAACATTTTTCAGAACTATTAAATGGAATTTTACCAAATTTGTAGTAGACAGGAATGGATGTCCTATTCAACGATTTGCGGCGACAGACGGTTTTACGGTAAACATTAATATTATAATTTCAGAGCGCTACTGCACTCATTATAAGAAATATAACTTAATATAGAAGTAGAGCGATAATATCAAATATTATAATCTATACATTTCGTTAAAAATGATATATGTTCTAACATTGTACAGAAAATATAGACGTATCATGATCTAATAATGTGTGTACAGACATTAAAATTTAAATAAACAACTTGAACCAAATAATATTAAGTAGAAGTTAAAATTAATCATGATTTAAGATATGATAATAATACTTTAAATAAATAATATTGAATTAATTTTTTGAATTGTATTCTTGTCCTTAAATAGGACCTAGAAGAATTGATACAAGAACTGTTGAAGAACCAAAATTGCTAATTCTACGTTTAACTCAGTATCGTCCAGCTATAGGTACCTACTCGGTTTACAAAGCGAACTCATTTTTCCATTATATCCAGATTACATCTGACATAAAGGTACTTGTATAATGTTATTATATTAAATCGTTATACTATTCAATCGTGCATTTAACTTTTATTTTGTTATAGTTATGTATAGCGTTATTTTAATAATTTAAAATGAAGGTATGAAACGATTATTATGACTTTTTTTTACAATTAAAATGTATTACACTAACGAATAATAATTGTGTTTTATAATTAAAAGATTTGTTTAAAAATTGTGTGAGTTGGATTTTATTAAATAAAAATGATTAAGTCTAGACGAACGAATGAATTTAATTAGCCGTCAGCGTTGAAATCACAATACATGTTATACCAGCAGAGGATTTAATCAAATTTAGATTCATATTGCAACAACATATTTACCTCTAAAAGTTGGTAGGTATCTGAAAACTGTATTTTTAGTAAATATAACCGAATAGCGAATACACTTGTTTTGAAACATCTTTTTTCGGTCAGTAAAATTAAACAAGTGGTAGGTAGTTTATATGACAAATGACAAATAATTACCGTTCTATGATACGTCCAAGGCTATAACATTTATAAAACGATACAGGATTTTATATATCTTTTTAACTCTGGCAGTAAATAAAACCAAGGTACGTTTACTTATTTCTAACATGTGTGATAAAAGAGTACCTATAGAGTATAGGTACATGATTGGAAAATAATAGTAGTAGGTACACCTACACCAATTGCACATCATAGACGATAAAATAAACTCTTTTTAGACATCATACTGCCAGTGTTATAAATGCTAAATGTAAAATTAAATGTCCTTGAATTTAAAACGAAACAACTGTTATACTATACAGTGGTTTTTATAGACTTTTCAGTGAAATTTAAGCGAGCTTGTAATAAAAATTATTTAATAATGCGAGTTGCAAGTACCGTGCTAACGACAACAAACAATAAAAAAAATACAAATCACACAAAATTTGTGATCATATGACCAGAAATAATCGAAGACTGAAGGACATTTAGTGTCTTAATAGAAGTCTATTCGATAAAAACCAAGTGCATTGTAGTGAAATCCATAAATTGCAAGTATTAAGTAAGTACAGTACTCGAAAAAATCGATTTTGACATTGCATTTGTCGTGTGTATTAAAGAAAACATCTATTTTGAAATGCGTATTCAAATAAACCAATTTTGATTTCAAAAAGAGGTATATAAAAACAACAATACGTTTTATGTTTTTTGTTTTTTGATTAATGAACTATTTACTATCTATTATAGTTTTAATTGAAATATTTTTAAATTGTAGTTTAAAAAAAACAATTGTTCCAAAATGCGATCAATTAATATAAACCCACAAATTAAGATAGTATTAATATCATGATGTTATCATATTATGTTGATAAATACTTTATCTATCGAATATCTTACTACCTATGTATATTTATAAAACGTTTTCAAACTTGTATATAGTATATAGTGTACGTCATGTGTACTTATATATATATGTATATATAACTGATGTCAGATCGGTCAAACACAATGTATTGTACACATTTTAAATATTCTAAACATAAGAGAAACTCTTGTATAATAGTTTAATATGTTAACAATAATAGTTATAACAAAAGATCTAATCTACATCATGTAATTACTGTAATTATCAGTTTTATAAGTCGTAATCGTTACAACTATGAATTATAATCAGATATCTAGCGTATGCTATTATTATTGTATTTTGATAAAACAAAACAATGTCATGCGAATATAACATGACATTTTTATTTAAAAAAATCATTAGGTTATAAGAAAATTAAAATCAAATATTCGTGCACATGGGTTCCTTATTAGTATACCTACCTATTTAACGTTTCAATAAGTATTTTTCATGATCAAGGTATAAGAATTAATAAATAAAATATATAATTTTTCATTTTTATTTTTTAGAGGTCCAACCATTTTATTTGTATATTATAAATTTTTTTATTGAAACAATCATTAGGTTATAAGAAAATAGGCATGTTACACATTTTCAATCACAGCAGTATTATACAGTTGTGTAAGGATGGGGAACGGATAAAGTAATTTTATATAAAATGAAATAAATGTTTATTGCAATTTGAGAACTATACGAGGTAAGTAAATACTTAAACATAAGTATCTACTATAAACAAGGTTGTGAATAAAATTAATTAAAAACTTAAAATAATTATGTATGCAATATATTGTATAATATATTATTACTGTTTTTGAATACCCGCTACATATCATTTGTAAATACTAAATAGTGACATGAACAAAAAAAATTGTGGAAATATATCCTATGATATTGTTCAAAGCATACAATTGAATACTAATTTTGCTTTTGTTTTAATTTACGAAATGATTTAATATGTTTGTTCTATGTTTGGAAAAATAATATAAAATCATGCTCAAATAAGTATGTTTTCCGTGCCATTACACTCCTAAAATGCTGCAAATTAATTTGAGCCCAGCATACATGTTTAGCAAATATTTTACAACCATTAGTACTATTATCTATTGATAACTATAAAACAATTTGGTTGTCTGCAAATGATAACCCTAGTATAATATGTAGATTTTGAATCCACATAAAAAGAATACATACACATTTAACTGTCTATCAGGTAATTAAAAGTATCATATAAGTATGCCAATAGTATTGACTTAATAAAAGTCATTTATTTATTCAATCATTTGTTTGTCAATTAAAGACACACGCATGTCATCATTGACATACGTTGACTCGTTGACATTAACAAATTATGTGGATCAGTTACTAAACAATATAACATCACGAAATATCACATTTTCAAACAGTTTCAATTTATAATTACAACAACCCTACAATGAAGATTAGAACTAATCTGTATTTAATTACAGCAGTACTAGTAAGTCGATAAATTCTTACATATATTATGTATTTTTGTATTATTAATACCTATAGCCTATACACATATTTTAAAAGATATCTAAATTACACATTCAATTTGAGAAATTAGAATTATTTAATTACATTTTTTGATAAACATGCAATAAATGAACTAGAATATATACTTAGGATTATATAATCTTTGATTAGTTTCTATAGTAGTTCAAAAACTATTCATACAAATTTGGTAATTCGAGGTATGGTATTTAATTTTGTGATAGTAGTTGGGTAATTTTGAGAGAAGACAATACTTTATATTTACCGTTCAAATAATTCTTTATTACTTAAAAAAAAATTACAATTACAATTTTTATAAACTTTTTACAGATTTACAAAAAAAAATGTAGAACGATAACTTAATTAATCAAAAATTAACCATATCTTAACTTTTTTTTAATAGCTGACATCAAACTTTTTGACACTATGTGAAGGGGACGATGGCCATGAATTCTCTGATCACTTAGATCATTTAGATCACTTGGACGACTTACATGATATTAATAATTTTGATGATAACAATGTAATTCATAGTGTTGAATTAGTTCAACATAATGAAGATGCAATGACTAAATATGCAACAACATCTCATGCAAATCAAGAAACAAATAAAGAGTTATTTACTAATACGATTCCTATCATTCAACAATCTAATGTTCCAACCACTTTTACAAAAGTAGTAAAAGAAACAGTTATAAAACAATCTAATAATGATGGAAATAATTCCCCTAAACCTGATTTATCAATGACAGATTTATTATATAGTAACAATAAATCGAAAGAAAATGGAATCGGTAACGCGGAACATATTAGTTTGCCACCAATTCCTTCACAACAAGCATCTGATTTGCAAGGTAATATAAAAAATATAATTCGTACCACAGTGACAAAAACTACTACAAGTGGAAGTCCGTCAAATGAATTAAACGGATCTTTTAATATAGTAAATAATTTAGACGCACTTCCTTCAAATCATATCTTATCTACAATGAGTTCTGCAAACTCTAATTACGATGATGGAACTGCAGGTTCAAGTTCTTCTCAATCTAATTCAATGGATGAAAATAGTAAAATACAAACAATTTCAACGACAGAAAATATAATTGGTGGAAATGGTTTTGGTAATTCTAAAAGAATATCTCGTACACCAGGAGGTTCATTCAGGCACATGAAAACTACGATAATAAAACAACATAATATAAATGACAGCAATGATCGTAGTGATTTGGGTAAATCTACTATGGAATTCAATAGAGAGAACACATCTTTAGATAATATTGTATCGTCAATGATAAACCCTTCAGGGTATAATACAGTAACTACTTCATCTGTTGATAGGGATAGTAATGCATTCAATAAAGGAATCCCATCCAGGAGACAACAAACCCGTTTGAACAATATCAATGGACTCAGAAATTCAGTATCTGAAACTGGTGGTCTTCAGAACTCAGGATCGCTTGTACAAACCAAAACAACAATAATAAAAAATGAAAGAGCAGCTAATGAAATTAAACTTGATGGTTTGAACGATGACAAAATAGGTTATAATATTAACGGTGGAATGTCTACCTCAAATAATATTGTATCATCAATGATAAACCCTATAGAGTATAATACATTATCTACTACAACTGTTGATAGGAATAGTAATGCATTTAATAATGGAAACCCATCCAGGAGACAACAAACCCGTTTTAACAAATTCAATGGATTCGGAAATTCAGTATCTGAAACTGGTGGTCTGCAGAACTCAGGATCGCTTGTACAAACCAAAACAACAATAATAAAAAATGGAAGGGGAGCTGATGAAATTAAACCTGATGATTTAAATGATATCAAAATAGATTATAATATTAACGACGGAATGTCTACCTCAAATAATATTGGCAGTTCAAATTATATCATATCTTCAAATAAAAATGGCAATGATAACAACGGTGGTTATAGTTATAGTTATGGTTATGGTAATGGTAATGGTGGTGGTGGTTTAAATAATAATATGATTTCTTCCAACCATTTAATGGGTGGATCTTCATCTGGGGGTTATTCTGCATATATTATGTCTGATGGGTATAGTAAGGGAAACGGAAAGGGGAAAAAAAGAAAGAAAAATGGTAGTAAAAAATATAAAGGAGGCAGATCAAAAAATATATCATATGGAAAAAGTAAAGGGAACGGGCAAATAAGAGTTAAAAATGGTCGTAATTATCAAAATACAAGATCATCAAGAAACAGAAGTGGAGGAAGTTCTAAATATTATTCATCAACTAATTTTGTAAGAGGACCACAAAGTAAGTCTTTTTCATCATCAGCTAGTTCTTCAGATGAGTTATCTATAAAAAAAAAACCATGCCATTGCAGTAAAGGACGAAAGTTAAATAAAAGAGATAGTAGTGAAAGTAATGGAAGTAGTCATTCAAAAGGACATCGTGGACCAGGGAGTCAGTATTTAGGTAGTTCTATGGATAATCAACCAATGCAAAATAACGGCGACTTCATTTCCGGATTTCCATCACCACTATCTCCGTCCATGGAACTTGAACCTCAACCAAATTTATTATTTGACATGGTGCAAGGGCAGAGACCAGACGGATCATTAAATTACAGTCAATCAGATCTAAAAACAGTTTTTAATGGACTAGACTCCAGGTTGAAAACCACTGGACTTGAGGAAACGAGAAGTCAACTGATAAACGATCATCAATTACCCAATATTGATGTGTCAAATCAATATTTAACATACCAAATACCAAATACAGGTTCACTATATAAATCAGATTCTCAACAAGAACAAAATTTCGGTCCACCTGGTCTAGGTCCAGGCCCAGGTCCAGGCCCAGGTCCAGGCCAAGGTCCACATCCAGGTCATGGCCCTGGTCCATACCCAGGTCATGGCCCTGGTCCATACCCAGGTCATGGCCCTGGTCCACACCCAGGTCGTGGCCCTGGTCCACAAGCGTATCCATTGGATTCTAAACCATATTTTATGGGTGACTATCCAAAATACTTTGAACAAAATCTACGACCATTATCACTATCACAATCCCCATATCCTTATTCATTTAATCAAGATTATCATTCTGATTTTTCAAAGATGGGCTTAACTACTCCTGAATTAACGGATATTCAGTCCGGACTAGGGAATCAGATAAACATCTACGATGACTTACCTCAGATGCAACAAAACACTGAAGGTACTGGGATTAATCGAATGGATGCACTAAATTCGGGATCCATGATAACGAGTACTCGAAGTAATATGATAAGAAACGCAGATGGTGGTCCAATTATGCAGTATTTCAAAACAATAAAAAAAACAGAAAGTATAGATGGTAATGGAACTCCAGATATGCAAATTGTTCAAACTCAATCAGTCCCACCCGAAGTTGATAGTTATGGTAACTATATAATAAAATATTTAAAATAATTCGAATGGGTAAACAATGGCAATAGTAGTTCAACGCATTTTATAAGTGATTAGTGATTAACAACAATAAATTATTTTTGAGGTATAAATATAAAATAAAAATGCCAAGGAAAATTAAAGATTATACAAACCAATAAATAAACAGCTAGGTAATTATAATTTTTGTATACCTACATGAATGATTACAATGTTATCGTTAATATTGAATTTTATAGATAGGTTTATATAATAATATAATATATTTTGTATTTATTTATATTTATTTATATAATTTTAAATAAATACACTAAAACCCGTAAAATCTACTGTTTTATCAATTCTTATTTAATTTAGCGATGACAATGCGTAATAATCCTACTCGTATTTAATATTTATCTATGGTATACACTAAACATCATCATACGGTGTGTTAAGCGACTAATTTACCAAGGTGACTTGGATTTTACGAATCAATAGCCAATAGGTACATATTCGTTATTATACCTACTATGTGTAATAAAATAAAACCTAAAATAACAGTCGTAGATGTGGCGTGTGAAGCTACAAACCCATATTCTTACAAAGAATCTGTAAGTAGTATCCATGTACGTTAAATGTGACTGATGTATGTTCGTCTCTGTATGACTCGTTCCTAACTCTCTACAACCGGGGGGGACTCTATTCGTCGAACTTAACCTTAGGAGACGATATGATTATTTATTACTGCCTATATTATATGGGCTCACTAATATACGTAGGCACAAGACGTCCCATCGAAATATCTATGTCTAAGCTGGATCCGTAAGACTCGCTTCATCAATAAAATATTTTATATTGAAGAAACGCAATCCCGGTTTCGATTTCCACATCGGATAGGACATAGCGTGTGTATACCTAACCATAATGTGGTAACCTAACCTAACCACTTGTGGATGGCGCCACTAAAACGGTTTGATTGGGTAACACCGATCAGTGGGGTATACAACTGTAGTATAATATAAATAGGTACTTGAAGTTTATAGGTAGTAAAAGAAATTCAACTATAAAAAAAATTATAATAATATAATACAACTTGTGTAATGCGTTAAAATGGAAAATTATTATTTTATATTTTTACCCATATATTTAAAGCTGAGAAGAAAAAACTTAGCATGCATAAATATTAGGTTTGTTACTTTGGATTGAAACATTCATAGTTCTTATTTATTTTAAGGTATACCAAATGTATTTGAGCTTCTTCAAACATCACTGGAATTGATTCTACAGATGCTCCCGGGCTTTAATGAATCGGGCATAAATGCATAGTATGAGATATTGTTTTAAATGTTTTAATATTAAATTATAAGTTACAACTGTATGAAATCAATGTTAGTGGGATGTTACAAGAAGCATAACAATTAATTATTGTGTCAATTTATGTAGATTATATATAATTAACACTATATATTTTAAGAAGTCCAAAAAATTAAAAAATATAAACTAGAAGAATATTATATTATATTATAACTATATACTAAATTACTAACACACTTTAACACTCAGTACTATTTTGAAAAGCCTCATCATAATGAAACACCTGTTTAAATTTTGAGTAATTGTAATATTTAACTAACTTTTAAACTCAAGAGTGTTAACTACGGATAAATGTCTCTTATTTAGTACTAATACAATTCAATATAAATATTAAAAGATTTTAATTTTAAACTCAAATTTTTATTTTGAGGGGCGCGAAAAATGTATTAGTTTTAATAATATTATGTATGATGTATTAGCAAATTGGATATAGTTTTTACTTTAGGATATTTTAAGTAGTAAAACTCCCAGTCAATTTCAAAACAATCGGGAAAAACAAATACAAAATTACTGAAAACTGGAATATTATACTATTTATCCTCAACCCCAGTTATTATAAAAATCGATTTTAGATTTTGTGTGAAGTTTTGAATCATGATGATTGTAATGGTTTTCCATGATTAGCGGGATTTTTTTTTATCAATAATTGGTTATTTACCTTTAGGAGTAAAAGCGCTTTAATTTCTACTTAAGGGAGATTTCTGTTATCAAATTAATTATCTAGTTCAGCGTTTCTCAAACCATGAGTTGCGACTCGAGGTACGATTACGGTTATTTTAGTCGTAAACCCTCTTATATTGTATAATAATAATGTGAAGTCTAACTAGTATTGTAGAATATATGAAATCAATTTTACATTAGATATAAATATATTTTTAGTAACCTTTATATTACTATTTTATTATGATTACGGAATATTTGTTATCTTATCGATGAGAATGATAAAATTGATCATAATAAAAATATTATTTATTTATGGCATACCTACTTGATTTTTTTTTAGCAGGGGTCGCGTTCCCAATAAAGATTAAATGTATGGGTCACCATTGCAAAAAGTTTGGGAAACACTAATCTAGTTGTACTTTAAGCCTTGAGGTGTCAAAAGTAAATAACCAGCAACTGTTCTACCGTACAGTAGGTGTCGAGTGTATCTCGTCATCGCTTTAGTCACTGTAATGGATGTTATAAATTAGTATTCTATTACAAATCATTGAACTTATAAGATAGTTATTTCAATGATTTTATTATTATTATTACATAGTTCGTACTTATACAAATAACCAGCAACAAGCATTGATATAAAGTATTTGATAATCATGTATTAATTTCGTTACACATTTTTGAAATATTTATATATTTAATATTAACAATGAGTAACTGTACTTTTAACTTATGTATTAAGAGTAACCAATGGGTGATTTCATTTCCTCATCACGCTATTATTACAATGTAATTGATGATCATATTAAATTACTATCATATTATTGTACTGATTGCAAATAATAAATTGTCTTGTTTATAAAAAAAAAACTTCCAAATAAGTACCGCTCTGCTGTAGAGTTGGTGTCAAGTGTAAGCTCAGCATTGAGCTAAATCATTGAACCTATAAGATGAAAAACGATTCTGAGCTAAGACTGTCTAACTGTTAGATAAGTCAAAGTTGCTAAATAATTATTTTAATAACAACATTAAAACTTTAACAAATGTTGCGACGTTCCGCTCGTAGAGCGATTGCCAGCGGGTGACCGCCCAATACACAAGGTCACCACCCTAGACCGAGCCGACGTTTCAACGGAGCACTAGGGATTTCTGTTTATATATACTTTTAGCAGGGCTCGTAGGAATTTTAAGAGGAGGATGAGAACGGAATAGGAGGGAAAATATTATGACAACTAATAGAGTAATATGCAAAACAAACGATGATATCATATTTTCATATTGTTTTTGTCGCCCAGCCGTTCAGCCTATGCAGTTGTAATAAACAATTATCATAAATAACAATAGGCTCTCGGCTTGACGCAACGAGACATTTACATTCATCGATTGTAATAACAATATTATGGCTGGAACACGTAGTCGACTTAACACGCACTTGTCATCATCCCGATAACTACTCCTCGTTATACCGTGTGATGATTGGTACACATGGTAATTATGTAATAAAAGATTTTGGGAGTAATTATGATAAAATACCGGTCCAACAATGGTAATAATATGCCATGTGGCCATGTTCTTATTTTTTCTCCGATTGCCTGTTTATTAAAAGTTCTGAACATTTTCAAATTTGACCTCCTAAAAGTACCAATTACATCAAATTTTCCACTAGAAACTAAACTCGCGAAGTTGATGGTTGGAGAAATTTTTCTACTAGCAGAAGTGTCTTCAAATACAAAAATAAAACACACATCATTGTAAAATCAGTACATACTCAGCTCCACTCAGAATTCAAAAATGCTCTCAGTACCTATACTCCTCATAATAATTGCGAAAAACTACAAAAAATTTCGGAAAACCGTTATGTTTACACGTTACCAGTTTTTGACAACATCGATTTTGATGTAATTCAAAATTGAATAATCGTCCATACTTAAGATACATTTTCACCAAATATTTATATTTAGTAGTATTGTTTGAACATGGTTTAACTTGGCATGTCCAATATATTGTCTGTTTTTGTACTATTTATATAAAATTAAGATTTTTGTCTCGCTCATTAAATAAAATTACTAACTTTGTTAAAAACGTATACAAATTCACTATATAATTATATTAATACACTTTCATATTATTCAGTATTAAAAATGTTTTTAAACTTCAAATATGAGTCGTTTATACATATTGTACTGTGTGTTTACTTTCCTTATTTTTTATTCCTTTGATAATATTTTTCGCCAATTTAATAGCTTCGTGTATAGACAGAATATATATTTACAAAATATACTATGCTAAGGTAGTTGTTATATGTACATAATATATGGAACATATATGTATTTGTACATGGCAGGTACTCGGAAGTGAATGGTTCTATGTTTTTTTTTCTCGGAAACGAACTCAATACAAATGTAAAGGGGGGTGCAGTTTAGCTGAGAAAATTAATATTTGTCTTCGAGACGAATGTGCGACGAATAAACAACATCCACACAGCAACTCCAGCTGTTACCGAGGTAACTCAACCACCGAATAAACACGGCAATAATAATTGGCAAACATATAGACGGGTCCAAAAATCCTGATCCAGCTATACATATCAATATATCGTGTTTGCAGAATGCGCGGAAACCCGTTATTTACTCGATTAGTTTGGGTTTTTACTTTTTTCTTTATACCCATTTTAACAAAAAAATATTGACACAAATTTCAATGTACGATGCTATAGTATACAGTAATACAGTATGGATAGAGGATAGTACAGGACAGTACACACATACGTGCTAACATGTTGAATGCTCTAAAAAATACATGCACATAATAATACGAGTATATATATTGTATGTGCGTGAAAGACACTAAAAAACGGATTTGTATAATACCAAACGGCAAACACGTCATATTGTCACATTCATTTGTATCACATTCGGTTTATAGCCACCCTGCACTCTGCAGGATATTTTTTTAATAATGAAACTACGTTATACATATATTATACAGATAGGTATATAATATCCATATATTAATATTAGGCAATTATAAAGAAAACATTTTTTTTTAGTTTCTGAAAAATAACTCTGCGCACACCTACTTTTTCTAATTTAATTTAAAAATATTAAATTTGAGATAGTTTGAGGACTACCATATAGTACCATGCGTCAATTAAGTTCATGAAACAAACCACTTGAATCACTTCATCAAAATTACAATACATTTTTTGTGCTTGCATTTGCGAATTATGCGCTGTATATACTATATACAAGGTGATTGAACAAGCATGCTTATCCCCATATTTTACTTTAAAAATGAATTTATTCAAATTTTTATTTTTGTAATTTCTTAATAATATGTTCAAAAACTATTTTTCAAGTACTTAAAAATGTTTTGACTACTTAATGTGGTGATACAAAGTTCTGTTTTTCAAATTAGTTAGTTTCCAAAAATCAGATTTTGAATAACTGCATAATTACAAAAAAAAGGGCGGTGAGCACACTTACAAGTATAGTGAATCACCCTGTATATAATAAAATACATCAATTATATAATAGGATAGGCATGTTTAGTATATTTGTTAAGTCTAAATAAATAACCTTGAAAAAACATTCACAAGTGATCGCGCAAATTCCTGTAATTTATTATAATTATGACATAAAAAATATACATATATTTATTAATATAAATGGTCTCTCGACTAAATGATACCTTAAAATTCCGAAAATCTGAAATATAATAACTAATGCATAATTTATGTGATGTATAAATATCATGCTTCATAGATCATCTATGTTTGCATAGGATATATATAATATAGATATATATGCGTTTTTTATTGTTAGTGTAAGATATACTTGTTGGAATACTTTTTTAAAAAATAATCTCGTTACTATGTACGGACCATGTAACGACAAATTGAACATCACTGTAGCGTATATATAGGTACCAGACACCTGGTACCTACATCAAAGTATCAAACTGTCGCTGTTCCCGTGGGAGATACAAAAGTGACCGGCCGACCGGTGCAGTGTAAGTAAAATAATATAGTAAATACCATAGCCTTGTTACCTTATGAATTATGAGCTCTATAGTATCTAATAATCGACCACGTACGCTTTCGATCAAAATTCTTCGCATTGACATTAAAACGACTTCCTGAGTAATTAAAATCTACGATGATTGAGAGGACCAATAGTGTGTTTCGATGAAAATGCTTCTATTTGGCGTCAACGCGACTTGCTGAACGATTATTTATTAATATCTATAACTACTAAGTGTCTACTTAGAATTATTACAATACAAGATAATGTTGTTTTTTACAATACACCGACAAATAAATTAACCAAATACCTAATTGTATAGGTAGAATTAATATTCTAGTAGTTAAAACAGACATATTTTAGTTTCATCACGACGTATACTGTCGTTTTACCAAACACCTACGATCCAATGTGTTTATCTTATGCACGGGGACAATGTTTTCAACAAACAAATCAATATGTACTTACATTCAATGTGCTCGTAATAAGACATAAACTGCAGTACCAGTACGGCGTGTAGATAATACGAACTGTATGGGCCCACCCATAAAGTTGTATTGCAGGTTTACAGACCTATATGGCTGTGTAAACTGTGTACCTATATTGACGTTTCGTATCCACGGGTATACTCTATAGATTCTATATAGGTAGGTAGTATAAAAGCAAACTGACTCGTTCGTGTGATACGAAGTTCACCTTTGCCGTTTCTCACGACAATGGTATGGTATCATTTTTCATGGTTTGTATTTGGTAGGACAAAACATTACGTTAATAATGTTTGTTTATAATATATTGTACACAAACATTATTAAAAATGGTAATAGTTGGTAGCGATAAAATCGTATATCTATAGCTGGTATATTGTACAACTAGGCACGCGATGATTAAACTATGGACCTACGAATAATACCTGTTGACTGAGTTATAGAAATAATGAATCGCAACTA